TAAAACCGCAATAAATCAGACAATGGTGTCGATCAAACGTGAAATAGCCATAGAACACCATAATAGAAGATTACGTTCCTCAGTCATTTGTCTTTTACCTAATTATGAACCATAGTAGCTATTGGTTATTTATTTTGAATCATCTATTTCTCATGTAAAATAACAAGTGGATAGTAATAATCGTTACTTTAAAAAAAGTCATTCAAAATAATCTCACCTTCCTGACATAGAGAAGCGAAGAAATGATAAAAAATAGATTAGAAATTAGTAAATTACTGGAATCGAAATTGAGAAACTGATACGAGATGCTTGGCTACTAATTTTTGATCGGAGATATCGGAAATAGATGATTCATGCTTCCAAAAACCATCGCCATGCAGCTGGTTTCTTCATAAATTGGATTAATACAATTAACTGGTAATAATTACAATTTCTTACCTTATTTTAGACAGGCATGCACGATTTCACGAATTCCACAAATTTTGATGAACATAAATTTCAATATAACCAACGACAGATATAAAATATTTATTTCAATTGTACGAACATTAATTTAAATTCAATTGTTAAAAACGTTAACTTGTTCAATACCATTAATTTAAATTAAATTGTTAAAAACGTTAACTTGTTCAATAACATTAATTTAAATTAAATTGTTAAAAACATTAACTTGTTCAATAACATATTCATCAACGTACATTAAATTTTAATATTATTCTAAATATACATTATAAAAATAAGCAAACTGCAAACTAGCTGCAATTAAAATAAAAATCATTTTCCTACTATTAATCATTTAATTGTTATTTCGTATTTTAAATATTGTTTTATTACCGAACATAATATTCCACGTATTTTTCTTATTTTTTAAAATATTATTAACAATATTTAGAAAATACCTGATTTCTATCTTAATTCGCCACAATGATATTCCATATTTTCGCGTTGATAAAACCGGTGATTAGATTCATTAATTAGATAAAATTTGTACAGCCTGTAATTGTTCGGAGATACGATGAACTCGTTAGAGAAATATTAACGAGAACAAAAATTCGAAATATATTCCATCCTATTTTTGCAAACATTTATATACCAAGATAACGTCCATTGTTCATTTTATGGATGCAGATAATTATTATCTTTGATGAAGTATTATAGTTAAGAGAAATAAAGTATTACAAAGGTTCTACGATTGAATAGTATTAGAAAATGTGGTAGTTCGATGCTTCAGATTGTCGTGAGACTGAAATCATTGTGTTGCCATTGATCATGCAATGATGAGGTATAATGACATACAAACAGTAGGAATATTGCACAGCACGTGATTCTGACATCGTCATTATAAGAATAATGTGTTAGAGGCTTATCGAATTATAGTTCTCTATTTTTCCTAAGAATATTATATCAGCAAGATACAATGGCAGAATTTTTTTACCGTCATTATCAGTTTGTTCCCTTTATAACAATTCATGCTTCACGGTTATTCGCTAATAAAGATAATCTGCAAAATATTTTACGCGCATTATTGAACTGAACGCAAATTTTATTTGGATATTTCAAAAACGAGAGGTGAAAACGTAGTATGAAATTCTAGTATTAAATTAGATAATAAATAACAAATTATAGTAATGTAAAATTAAAGAATAAATAATAAATTAAATTAATGTTAAATTAAACAAGGTTACATTATTCTTGAAAATTAATATTGATTTAGCTTTTTATTTTTAATATTGGTAACTTCTGTCTCTAATTATACTTATTTTAATAATAGTTTTAGTTGTTGAATTATTATAAAATATTATTTTCTGAAGTACAAATTTAGTTACAGAAATTTTTAAAATTTTGTAGATATAATAGCTTCTTATTTTTTGAAAATAATTCCACTGTTAGAATATTTCGAAAATATAATACAACAGATAAAATAGAAAAATTGTGTTTTGTAGATTGAATATAATTTTGAATATTGAATAATATTTTCTTTTACAAGCTTGCTAAAAATTGTAACTAGCAGATATAATATACTTAAACTCAAACTGGAAATTCACAAATAAATTTCAGCACCTAAATTGATATTATTATCCTTCCATGAATGAATAATTCTATTAATGAAATTAATAATTCCTTCAGCACTATTATTAAATCACGGTTGTAAAACCGCAATAAATCAGACAATGGTGTCGATCAAACGTGAAATAGCCATAGAACACCATAATAGAAGATTACGTTCCTCAGTCATTTGTCTTTTACCTAATTATGAACCATAGTAGCTATTGGTTATTTATTTTGATGCCAGTAATATTTTCTAGCATAGGAAGATTTATTTGATAATAATTTTCAACATGTTCGAGATGTCTATCGAGTTAACAAATTTATATTTTCTAGTCATTTTAACTCTTAATAATAATTTTAGTTTTATAATAAATTTTCCAATTTCTTTATTATTTCGTAATTATTATTTATTTTATTATTTTATTTCTATTATTTTCTAATATTATTTTTATTTTTATATTACGTTGGATTTAATTTTATTCTTAATATTACCATGGTTTTATTATTTACTATTTTTATTCTTATTTTATTATTTTTCCATTACAGACAAGATAGAAACGACAAGATGTCTAGAATTTGATTGGTCCTGGTATATTAAGTTTACCTTTTAATTTGGAAATTAATTATAAATTATCAGTCGATAATTTTGTATTTCCAATTTTAATACTAGGAATACCAAAATATCAAAGTTTTATAAAATTAAGGTTGATTTTTATTATACATTTTGATTCTTTTTCATCGTTCTATCATACAATAGCTAATAATTTAATCATTTACTAGAAAAATTGGTAATAACAATTTGTCATTTATACTAATTATTCCAGTCCATTAGATTAGTCCTATTGTCAAGAACATATATAGAAAATAAAATCCCTAATATGCCATTAAAGTACCTAAAATACAGCTAAAAATCTCATAGAATAGTCAACTGTCCAATCACCTACCAGAAAAATTCGTAATAATAATCTGTCACCTATAGTAATCATTCAGATCCCTGAATAGTCCCTATTGTCAATAACAAATTGTTAAAACAATAACTCTACATATATAAGAGTATCTAAAGCACAGCTAAACTTCTCATATTCCAGTCCATTAGATTAGTCCTATTGTCAAGAACATATATAGAAAATAAAATCCCTAATATGCCATTAAAGTACCTAAAATACAGCTAAAAATCTCATAGAATAGTCAACTGTCCAATCACCTACCAGAAAAATTCGTAATAATAATCTGTCACCTATAGTAATCATTCAGATCCCTGAATAGTCCCTATTGTCAATAACAAATTGTTAAAACAATAACTCTACATATATAAGAGTATCTAAAGCACAGCTAAACTTCTCTGATATATAATCAATCATCCAATCATCCACCAGAAAAATTCCTAATATATTCTGTCACCTATAGTAATCATTTCGATTCACTGAATAGTCTCTATTATTAACAATAAATTACTAAAATGGTAACTACATACACAGAAAACAAAACTCTACACCTCGTTAGAGTATTTAAAACACACTTAAAAATCTCTTACGATAGTCAACCATCCAATCATCTACCAGAAAAATTCGTAATAATAATCTGTCACCTATACTAATCATTCTGATTCCCTAGATAGTCCCCATTGTTAACAACAAATTGCTAAAACAATAACTCTACATATGTAAGGGTACCCAAAGCACTCCTAAACTTCTCTGATATAATAATCAACCATCCAATCATCCATCAGAAAAATTCGTAATATATTCTGTCACCTATAGTAATCATTCCGAATCCCTGAATAGTTGCTATTATTAACAACAAATAGTTAAAAATAACTCTAGAAACATAAGGATACCCAAAGCACACCTAATCTTCTGCGATATAATAATCAACCATGCAATCATCCACCAAAAAAATTCGTAATAACAATCTCTCTACCATACCAATCATTCCAATCCTCTAAATACTCCCATCGTTAATAATAAATTACCAAAACAATAGCTGCCCACGCAAAAGACAAAATCCCCAATTAGAGTACTCAAAACACACCTATATTTCCTTGATATAATAATCAATTATCCAATCATCCACCAGAAAAATTCGTAATAACAATCTTTCAACTATACCAATCATTCCAATCCTCTAAATACTCCCATCGTTAATAATAAATTACCAAAACAATAGCTGCCCACGCAAAAGACAAAATTCCCAATTAGAGTACCCAAAGCACACCTAAACTTCCTCGATATAATAATCAACCACCAATCATCCAGCAAAAAAATTCGTAACAACAATCTCTCAACTATACCAATCATTCCAATTTTCTAAATACCCCAATCGTTAACAACAAATTACCAAAACAATAGCTACCCACGCAAAAGACAAAATCCCCAATTAGAGTATCCAAAACCCACCTAAAATCCCTTGATACAACTAACCATCCAATCCCATGGTAAAAAAAAAATTCACAAAAACCATCTGTGATCCACAGCCCCATCGCACGCCAAACCTCGTTAACGATCAATTAAAGCAACTGCGATTACCGCGTGGCGCGGGGCAGCGCATCCCCGGAGCGTAAAAGCGGCAGCGCGAACCGTGTGTCCAGTGGCGCGGGATCCGATGTTCTTTCCACTGGCGGGGGGGCGAGGGGTGTCCGCGCTGGTGGACGAGCGTCGCGACGCCCGGAGGGGTCACCCTGACCCGGAAGCTCCGCCCCTGTGGAAGTCGAGCCGCCAACCGGCGTATCCAACGTTCGGGGCACGGTAGGAGGAGCCACCGTGTCCCCTTGGCGCCAGGTAACCGGCGATCCTGGAACCTCGACGACTGTCTGTTGGCATTTAGTACCGCGCCGACTCTCGAGGCAACGTTGTCTTCTTTTTTTTTTCCCTCCGGTAGACAGAAGAAGGGAAGAGGCGAAGAAGCCTTGCTCGCTGTGCCAGCCTTCCCTCTTCCGTGCGTTCTTGGTTCGACCACACTGCTGGATATACATGATCACCGTTGTAAACAGTCGTCGGGAGACAGCCGGTTGGATCGCGATTGATATATAAATCCTGGCAACGGGACACATCCTCAGTGACTATAGCCCGATCGACTAGTTCGCGACCTGGATCGTTGTTACCGTGCATGACCGGTCGTTCCTCGTGCTTGGGATTGCTCTGTCGGACATGGAAACCAAGATGGAGCCGCTGACACCGCCGCACACGCCGCCCACGTTGGACAGATCGATGCACCAGCAGCAACAGCTGCAGATCACGTCGCCCAGGTGGATCAGGTCGCAGCAACTGGCCGGGAGATTCGCGCAGCAACAGCCCGGACAGGGACAGAACGTCGGTTACCACCAGGCTGCGTTTCTGGATAATTGGCTGAGAGGCGCTGCCCTGCTCGCTGTCAGGGGTTGTTGCCCTCAGACGACCACTCCGCATCCTTATCACCACCAAGGTCATCAGGGCGTGCATCCCGCGCTTCCGGTACCGCCTCCCGCCTCGTTCCTAGCTAGGAGACTGCCTGGTCAGAGACCCAAGAAGCAGTTCATATGCAAGTTCTGCAACAGGCAGTTCACCAAGAGCTACAATCTGCTGATTCACGAGAGAACGCACACCGACGAGAGGCCCTACTCCTGCGACATCTGCGGCAAAGCGTTTCGCAGGCAGGACCATCTGCGTGATCATCGGTGAGTCTCCAATAGACGTGTCTCTTCGTGCACCTCCTGTCAACCTTTATCTCCGTTTTTCACCGATCTTTTGGGGAAAAATTTCATGGACTGACCCTCGACCAAGTCTAAATTAGGTACCAATCGGTTGGAATACGTTGTATCATAGTGTTGCTCGCGAAGGAACCTTATTCGAGTGTCTCCGGGTCTAAGAGTTTGACAGACAGTTGACATGTCTCTATTTTCTCGGGGATTTCGGGGATTCTAAAGTAGTCAAAAAGTGAGATCCGTGTTTTTCTCGTTCAGGAATAGTTATTTCGTTTGTACCGTACTTTGATGTTCGATGGAGACTTTGAATATCGAGTTCTCTAGCAGCCTTGGCGCGAAAAAACATCCGTCAAGTGCACTTATCAGTTGTTCCACTTATCTCCTGGCGGAAGGTTTCAAACGAGCCTCGAGATTCGATCGTAATCGCGGAATCGACGAATCTCGATAACAATCTGACTTGGATGATCGCAAACTCCTGTCAATAGCCTCTGCTTCGTCTTGGGAACGAATCTGAACGAAATCGAGATATAAGACAGAGTTAGAACGATGTCTGTTTACTTTCCAGGTATATCCACAGCAAGGAGAAACCGTTCAAATGCAGCGAATGCGGGAAAGGATTTTGTCAAAGCAGAACTCTTGCTGTGCACAAGATCCTTCACATGGAGGAGTCGCCTCACAAGTGTCCGGTTTGTGCCAGGAGCTTCAACCAGAGGAGTAACCTGAAGACTCATCTTCTCACGCACACAGACGTGCCACAGGACCTGAGAATCGAGGCACCAGTCACACCTGAGTCCAAGATCAACGCTTCCGCGACTGTCAGGCAGATGGCGGAGAGGGTGAGTGGCCTGATCCCGATCCAGAGGACCAGCACCACCACCCCTAAGCTCGGTTTCAGTATAGAGGACATCATGAGGCGTTAAACCGACCCTTTCTCCATTTTTCTCATAGTTTCCCGCGTCGATCTTTTTGTTAGTTTCGTGGAACGTGCTTCTTTCGAATCTGCAAGACTCTAGACCTCTGAATAATTCGAGGTCGCCGTAGTAATTCTGTGTTCGTATGACAGCTTTTAGACTACATTTACGTTTAATTTGGAGGAAAGAAGGCAGATTTGGTTGTTTGAAATCTAGATCGATAGATCAAGGTCTAGATCGATAGATCAAGGTCTAGATCGATAGTTAGGAAGATTTTTGAGATTTATCTTAGGCTAGTTTGGATCATTGATCTAATCGTCAGTATTGTATCTTAGACATTCCTTGGTGATATTTAAGGGAGGGAAATTTTGGTTTCGGGTAAAATGTAGAGGCTGTACGAATGGAAAACGATGTTCTTCGTGAAGTATAATGATTTTCGATCGAAGCACGTTCGTTTCGAAGTGTATCATACGTCGCGTTGTAAATATGGTTTCGCTTAAGTTATTCGACCCGATTTCGCCCGTGTTGTAGGGAAGAAGGAACGACCAAAGCATACCTTCGTCTTCCTTCCTTCTTCCTGTCACTTGTAAATAGCCGTGTACTTGTATTTAACTGTAAAATATTAGCCAAATCGCTCGAAAACGTATTTCTTGTATGTCTCCATCGAGTGTCGCGAGAAGATTTATCATTAGCTTTAACACGTTCAGTGCCACGAAAATTGATCCCTTGCACCTGAAAATATTTTCATCGCGAATAGGTACCAATTCGAATTTTTCTATCTTCTCATTTTTTAAATAAAAATAGCAGGAAATTAATTACTTAATTAAATCGACAAATTTTTACGATAACATAGAAAAAAGTCATGTATATATTAATTTTCGAGGAAATATTTTATGTTCGTGCCGATAATTATGAAAGTGATCTGATTATTTTATCACTCGTTCATTTTATAATATTGCAAAACTATTTTCACAGAAAGTAGGATCACTGGAATGATTAAATTTTTAGTTTATTTAAATACGAAATAATTAATAATTACTGTCACGATCGTAATTTTTAATAATAATTAGCTATTTTGAATCTTCTATATTTTTTCTATATTTCTAATAACATTATACAACTGTTATCGTCAAAATAGCTTATTTTTAAGTGGAAGTCTTTTGAAGGTAAAAAGCTAGGCAAATTCTAGGTACACGAAAACTCCCCAAAACCCCTTAAAAACCTCGATATCCATTACGTTCATTCGCGAAACACCTCAAACCCTTCGTATCGTACGTATCATTCGAAAAATCCCAAGAATGACATCAATTAGAGGTTCGGTTGTCAACTCAGGAATGACACCACCTAGATAGTTGTCAACAAAAGCATGACACCAACTAGATATTTGGTTGCCAATCCAAGAATGACCACCTAGATATTTAGTTATCGACAAAAGCATAATATCAACTATATATTTGGTTGTCAACCCAGGAATGACTACCTAGATATTTAGTTGTCAACCCAGAAATAAAACCACCTAGATATTTAGTTATCAACAAAGAAATGACACCATCTGGACATTTGGTTGTCAACCCACGAAAGATCTCACATCGCGCACTGAACGTGTTAATCGAGAAGCACCCAAACCCCAACATCTCAATCCAACATCAATCCCAATCCACCTCCATTTGCCACCCTCTGATCCAACCTTTGCCAAGAGCCCTGAGAGTCAAAGCACAGCTAAGACACGATCGTACGAATTTCACGCTACACCAAAGAACAATGCGTTCCCTGTCGCGTCAGCTCGACTGGTTTTCCAGAAGCGAGACGGGAAGCTCGGGTTGCAGAGGGTTAAACCCGAAATCTCGCGATAAGGCAGCCTCTGGTAACCGTCTGCCAGACTGCACCGGGTCCCGCGTGAATAACGAGGCGTCAGAGAGTATCTTTGGAGGCGTCAAAATAATTGGTCACTCCTCGGCTAGACAACGATCTGTCCCAGGAAGCCGCAAGGTGTTTCTCTCTATCGACGGCGTAAATCGAGTCGCACACCCTCTGCACCCGTCCGTATTTTCCCTCGGAAATTAGGAATTCTCGGATCAGATAAGCCGAAGGGACACCTCCCGGTAGTTGCCTGCGCGCCACCTTTCTCCGACCGGTGACCTGTAAATAGTCCCAAAGATCGCTCTTTCCTCTTCCTCCCTCTCTCTCTCTCTCTTGCTCTTTGTCGTTTAATCTAGGAGAAGAAAGGGCCCGTGGGACCACCCACGTCTTGTACATACACGTATAGTTTATATACCTGACACGATCGTGGAAATTGTCGCGATACACGAGGCTAGACACCATGGTCCCATAGGCCTTTCGTTTAATGGCTAAGGACGGAGAGCTCTCGATGGTTCTCGGTGATTCCGACGCGTTACCATTAATTTAAGGTCGTTGTAAATAGACGCGCGTGAACGGGGAGCTTCGAGCACTTTCTAGGGATCTTTGGGGATTTTTTGGGGGAAAATTCGAGATTGGGTTGTGGGAGGAAACTTAGCGTCTATTGGAATGTTAGGGTGGACGAGGATATTGGTGGGTTAAACGAAAGTTCGATGGGTGTTTTGGGGTAGTTTTGGGGTTAAGATTGGATATTATAATAATTTAATACCGAGTCTACCATGATCGAATTTTTATCCTTTATAATAAATTTTGGATAAAAATTCTGCACGCCAACGAGCTTAGCGTTACTGATGATACTTTACTGAGATATTTGACTGTGTTGGTAACAAAATTTCCAATTGTGAGTCAAGAATTTCGAAGAAATTCATTTTTCACTCATATATCTCATTTTTGCTGAGATTTATCAGTGCGTTGATAACAATGAAAGTGGCCTAAGTCAAGAATCCTATGTTTATTTCTACATTTACAAAATATTTAAAAGAAAATAGTAGTTTGCAATTAATTGGAAATTTTTTAATATTTTCAAAAATTGATATTTTGGTAATTCGAAATAAAGTATGATCACTTAAGATACCTTTATTTATCACGTTGAGTATGTTGGCTAGTGAGGGTAGATTTAGTGTTAATAGCGCGTTTCAGAAGATCTTTCTGGATCATTTTCGATCGAAGTTCTCGAAGCAACCCTCGCTCAAAAATGTGTAGATAGTTTTTACTCTCGTTGAAGATTCTTTCGTAGTTGCATCTTTGAATAATTTTCGTGCCCCTATCGTGGTCCTCCTTAATGTGTAAGGATAATATGAGTGTTCCGATTGGGTAATTATAGTGTGTTCGAAGTGTGAGGGATGTTGAGCGTGTCAGCGCGTAGTTATACCAAAAAATGGAAATAGGAGGATGCTATTGCCCTAGTCTATTGTAATGTATATTTAAATATTATTGTTATTGATTGGAAATAGAAATTCGATTGAAAGAAACTGATGGTCTGATGGTATTTTAATTACCCACTTGCCTTGTTGCGTTTTGTTTGTAATTTTTATAGCGTTACACCGTCTTTTGTATTATGTTTTATATGTGCTATATATTATAATATATATAATATATTTAATTAATAAATAGAAAATTTTGAAGATCAGTTTTGATTACATTTCATATATTTTATTGAGATTTTCCTCTTGTCAGATTCACTAAATTGTTAACAAATAAATAAAGGTCTACTAACATTGATTTATTTAAATTAAAATCGTTTGACTTTCAAATGCAATTTTAAAATTATTAGATGATTAATACAATTATTATTTTCTTCGGTGGTTGAATCGGTTATTGAAGAGTAACTGAGAAATTATAAATATTTTTAATAATGAATAATATACTACACATTTTGTTTAAAATTAATATTAAAAATATTTATAATTTCTCAGTTTTATTCTTAGCAAAGTGGCTCACGCGTCAGCTCGACTGGTTTTCCAGAAGCGAGACGGGAAGCTCGGGTTGCAGAGGGTTAAACCCGAAATCTCGCGATAAGGCAGCCTCTGGTAACCGTCTGCCAGACTGCACCGGGTCCCGCGTGAATAACGAGGCGTCAGAGAGTATCTTTGGAGGCGTCAAAATAATTGGTCACTCCTCGGCTAGACAACGATCTGTCCCAGGAAGCCGCAAGGTGTTTCTCTCTATCGACGGCGTAAATCGAGTCGCACACCCTCTGCACCCGTCCGTATTTTCCCTCGGAAATTAGGAATTCTCGGATCAGATAAGCCGAAGGGACACCTCCCGGTAGTTGCCTGCGCGCCACCTTTCTCCGACCGGTGACCTGTAAATAGTCCCAAAGATCGCTCTTTCCTCTTCCTCCCTCTCTCTCTCTCTCTTGCTCTTTGTCGTTTAATCTAGGAGAAGAAAGGGCCCGTGGGACCACCCACGTCTTGTACATACACGTATAGTTTATATACCTGACACGATCGTGGAAATTGTCGCGATACACGAGGCTAGACACCATGGTCCCATAGGCCTTTCGTTTAATGGCTAAGGACGGAGAGCTCTCGATGGTTCTCGGTGATTCCGACGCGTTACCATTAATTTAAGGTCGTTGTAAATAGACGCGCGTGAACGGGGAGCTTCGAGCACTTTCTAGGGATCTTTGGGGATTTTTTGGGGGAAAATTCGAGATTGGGTTGTGGGAGGAAACTTAGCGTCTATTGGAATGTTAGGGTGGACGAGGATATTGGTGGGTTAAACGAAAGTTCGATGGGTGTTTTGGGGTAGTTTTGGGGTTAAGATTGGATATTATAATAATTTAATACCGAGTCTACCATGATCGAATTTTTATCCTTTATAATAAATTTTGGATAAAAATTCTGCACGCCAACGAGCTTAGCGTTACTGATGATACTTTACTGAGATATTTGACTGTGCTGGTAACAAAATTTCCAATTGTGAGTCAAGAATTTCGAAGAAATTCATTTTTCACTCATATATCTCATTTTTGCTGAGATTTATCAGTGCGTTGATAACAATGAAAGTGGCCTAAGTCAAGAATCCTATGTTTATTTCTACATTTACAAAATATTTAAAAGAAAATAGTAGTTTGCAATTAATTGGAAATTTTTTAATATTTTCAAAAATTGATATT